GACTGGCTTTGTAGATTAACTAACTTTTTCGTTTACCAAAATTAATCTACTGATTTGGTATATGTTTTTGTAACCCTAAACCCTAATACCCGAACCAATCAATACCATATACTCTACAACAATAACACCTTATACCCTAACCAATCAATACCATATATAATCTAAACCATCAACACCTTGCTACCTACCTTATACCCTAAACCTTCACTACCTTATAGGCTTATGCTATAAACCATAAACACCTTACCATCTCCATCCCATGGCTTATTTAGACCATCTCCAATGGTGCAATTCTTGAGAATTGCAAGCTGATGTGGCAAGGGAGTGAAAGTGGGATGGTGAGTTGCATTGATGTGGGATCAATTACAAAAGTTGCAAATTTGCATCTGATGAATGTTTTCATGCAATTGCATACTGGCCCACCTTTTGTCCTTTTGGTTTATTTTTCTTTCTTTCTTTCTTTCTTTCTTTCTTTTTAGTTTGTGTTTATTTTTTCATTCTCAACATACATGCAACACACACATATATACAATTCCAATCATAATACTTTATATATTGAATTTCTAGTTTACATAATACTTTATATATTGTATGTAATTAAATAATCATTAAATAAAATTCCTATCATGGTTGATATATAATTCAAATATCAAGGTTCATATATAATTCGAATAACGACAAAAAACAACTTGAGAGAAAAACACACTAAACGCGTTAAGATGATAAAACTCAAATTAATATAACACACTCACAAATTAATATTGAATTGCATTGAAAATTAAGTAGGATCCACGATCACAATTGCATCTTGATGGCATTGATGTAGATGGTATGAAAATGAAGAGTGAGTTATAGTTAAAGTTGCTGAAGTGGCAATTGGGACCACCTATTTGATCGGTGTTGGAAACTTGAACTGAAACTGGAAGTCCTCCTATGCCGCGTCGTTTGGTAGATAAGAAGACTGTTGCCTCTTGCGGTGTCGTTTAATTTATCCACTCATTAATGGTCAGTTGAAGGCAAATTTTAAGCACTCTAAATAAATAATGTGCAACATTTCAGTTGAATAATTTTGAGAACTAATTTTTTTATTCAATTATTATATCGTATTTTTTGCACTAATTTTGAGCACTCATTAAATGGCTAGGGCATGTGGTGACAGATGAGCAGAGTTCGAAATCCGGCAAAAAATCCGGTTGGCCCAATCGTAAAGACTTCTAAAAATGGAGTTAGTAGTCAACAAATAAAGTACAGTATTTTTATTGGGAGTGGAGGATCCCTCGCCGATTTAGAAGATCTCAAACACTAAAAGTACAATTTTTGTAAAAAACAAAAAACTGTACTTTCCCTCCCTCTTTTATCCTATTATACATATGGCAACTTTCCCCTCTTGTATACATTTTGGGAGCATGATCAACATGTACGCGTCAATGTTGCCCAAAAGAATCACCATATGAAGTAGGGTTCCGCAACACCTATTATGGAACCGTAGCAACATATGATGATTCTTTCTGCAATATTTAGACGACGACTTATTGTCATTGCTCCCCTCTCTGCCTCTAACAAAGACCCTGCATGGAGAGAAAAGGAGAAACAATAAAACGAAGGATTTAGTTTAACAGTCATGATCTAACAATGACATAATGAAAGGAACTGAGATCTAAAATAATACACAGTCTCATCATTACCACTGCACCCGAAAACAAAGCATGGGACAGGAGGACGAAGAGGCGAATGGGGTTGATTTTCAGAGTTTCATATTGAGAAGATGGGAGAAAGGGTTCTTTTCAGGGATTGAGAGGAGGAGGAACGAACAGCAGCAGGAGATGAGTGCCACTCGGGTTTCGGAGCACGGTCTCTCCTTCACTGATTAACGAATTTATAGATTGACTCGTAATTACTTTTACTTTCCCTCCCTTCACATTTACTGAAAATTACACTCCCTACCACTGCCTCGGCCTTGGTAACGCCAGCATTAGTTATGGGAAAAAGCGAATTTCCGAATTCCGCAATATCTGATTGGGTGACACGCAATCGACAAGTATCGAAGGTATTTCACCATCGGATTAAGGGAAAAGTTTAGGAATTGACGGTGGGAAATGGGGATGTGCTTTTATAAATAGTCTGACTTTGTAGATTAACTAACTTTTTCGTTTACCAACATTACTCTATTTATCTGGTATATGTTATTCTAACTTGAATCATAACCCTAACCCCTATAACCTAAACCCTAACCCAATACTATATACTCTAAACCATCAACACCTTATACAATATCGTATTTTAGGGATGGAGATGATCAATACACTAACCCAATACCATGTACTCTAAACCATCAACACCTTATACAATATCGTATACCTATACGCTGATAAAATTTTTGCCCAACTAGATTACATGGGTACTTCAAAATTGAAATTATAACTTGCTTTTCAAAACATAAATTAAAAATTGATACTCGCTAAGTATCGAACCACAAACCTCTACTTTATTGACTAAGCAAATAAAGGACAATTAACCAATTAAGCTACATCACATTGATGATCATCTTGCATAATTTCTCTTTCTTATTAAGTGAAGGGTTAAAATGAACGATAAATATATCACAGGGGATTGTTTCAACTTCGTCGGGGACTGAGAGAGTGGAAAAGGGGTAATTATTCTACCAAAAAAGAAAAGAAAATGGGGAATTAACGAAGAGTTAAATTGGACGAATTGTCTTTAGAACGCCACTACCACCCAAAATCCTTCGGAGCAAAGACATGTTGGTTCAAGTCAAAGAATAAATGAATAAAGATGAAGTTAAGAACTCTAACTAATTTTGATTCCATATGTGCCGAATCGCTAATGGCCGAGATAACCGACATGGCAAAATCGTTAATGGGAACCTACTTTGCACACACCAAATCATTTTATCTCGCACCGATAAATGTGTAAAGAGACACGCTATAATAATTATGTCTAAATTTCCTGATAATAAGGCATGATCAGCATTTATAAGCAGATGTTATGAAAATATAAAATCGAGAAAAATTAAACAACACCTACCCTCTGCCGAACCAATCAATACAATATGCTCTAGACCATTAACAATTCAACACCTTATAACCTACCCATATACCATATACTTTAAACCATCAACAACCTAATACCCTAACCAGTCAGTAATTATTACCTTAACCATAAACACCTTATACAATAATCGCATACCTATACGTTGATAAAATTTTACACTTTGAAAATACTTGCCCAAGTAAAGTACACAGGTACTTCAAAAGTGAATTAACTTTCGTTTCAAAACATAAATTTAAAAAATGTCCTCACTAAGTATCCAACCACAAGCCTCTAATTAGTCTACAAGAGGTTTGTTATGTCAAGAGTGGCAAATAGTGAGAGAGTGGAATAGGGGCAATTAATAAAGAGTTAAATTGGGCGGATTGTTTTTTACCTCGTACCGATAAATGTGTAAAGAGACACACTACCATTTACCGAATCACAAAAAAAAGATGAAACACATAGTTGTGTTTAAATTGCGTGAACGCAAGACATGATCAGGATTTAGAAGCAGAAGCAGATGTAAATAAAAGCCCACCTTCTTCACAATCCAGATCATGTACACAAGCCCACTTTTGAAGGGAATTTAAAATCCTGCAAAAAATGAATGATTAAACCCGGAAATAATACGGATCCTAGTCCAACTAGACTTTGTCCTAAACGCACCGTTAATACATAAACACAAGTTAAGGCGACCTCTCCATCCGATTCGAATCAAATTCTGTCTTCTTCATCTTCTTCATCAATTAGGTCGAAGACTGTGTTGCTTATTTCATCTTCAATTTGTTGTAAGGAGTTCCAATAACGCTAACACATGATGACAAAGCACTGGCGACATGAACCCTAGGGTTAGCGAAATGAAAATTTCGATGAACACAATAATAGACATGGTGCCCGTAATCGTGTTAGAAAGAGATAGGTGTGTAAATTCCGGTCGGAAATAAAATGGCGAAGAACAAAACGTCGATTGTGGATACAAGGATTTGTGGTTCAAAACAATGATTATGTGGGGCTTTTAGATTCCGGTCGGAAATAAAATGGCGAAGAACAAAACGTCGATTGTGGATACAATGATTTGTTGTTCAAAACGATGATTATGTGGGGATTTTAGATTGAAAAGGGATCTTTTCTTCGAACGTGGATACATAGATTTGGGGTTCAAAACATGATGATGTTGGGGATTTGATATTGGATAGGGAGCTAAATCGAATGTGGATCAATGATAAAAGGATTTCAGATTTCAGAAACGATGATAAAAGGATTATGTTCGAACTTCGAACTAAGAGGGGACGTACCCTCCAAGATGAATGAGGGACTGGAAATTGGTTAGGACGGCAGGTCATATTCATAGGGTTTAACCTCTTAATCGATATAATTAAACCGGATACAGTTAGGTTGAAGTCCAATGAAAAAAGCTTAAACGCTTCGTGATGCTTTTGGTAATTTTCCTTGCCCCGGTTACCCGTACCCCGGATTTTGCCCCGGGCATATATATATATGTGGATGCATGCTCAATTCTCATTTCATATATTCAAAATATTATGAAACACAAGAATAACCCATAATAAAATTTTATATCTCATTAATAAGCGTACAAAATTTACAAGATAAGAAATAAATAGAAACCATTACAGTATATGATAATCTCTAAGATTCCTGAGATGGGAAGCTTATATACGTGGGCTGGCTGGTGGAATAAGGAAGCTTATGTATGTATGTATGAGTGCGCTTTTGGATGGTAAGATGGTGAAGATCGGATGACGTTGAAGGTGTGAAGTGAATGATAACTAGGTTAGATTGGGAACAGGTTGAAGATCGGATGATCGGTGGAATTCACATGATATGCAGATATAGGTTGTTTTGCAGTAGAGCGCGTAGCTTGTATGTGTCTCTGGTTGCTGTCCCGAACCCTCTATAAATAGCAACTTTTGTCTGTCACAGATAGATAGATCATCCGATCCATCTCAACCAAAAAGAAAGAAAGCACTAGCTAGCTCGCTAGCTAGCGAATCTCTGACTCCCGTTATATTGTGTGTGTCCAACAAACGTAAGATGTTGTCTTCATTACCTCACCTGCTGCTCACTGTAGCCGTGGTTTTCTTCTCCTCAATGCCCACCGAAACAAACCCCGTTCCCATTGTAGCCAAACTCACCCACCGCGACGCCGTTTCGTCACCATTCTACAGAGAGTGGGAAACCGAGTCACAACGCCAAGACCGTCTGGACCGAATCTCCGCCGCACGCGTTGCTCTCTTAAGCAGCGGCGGGGAAAACACCCAGCACTACCCATCTCACCTCCTGCTAAACGACGACGGCCCCGGGATTCTGTTCGTAAACTTTTCTATCGGCTCACCACCAGCACCACTGCTCGTCTTCATGGATACCGGCAGCAGTCTTTCCTGGGTCATCTGTCAGAACAAACCCACACCCACGCCTGGTTTCTATGACCGCTTCAGGTCAGCCACATTCCAGTACGTATCGTGTAATGATCCCATGTGCGAAGGACTTCCCAAGCATAGTTGCTTGACTCGTACAGATTGGTGCGTCTACGATCAATCTTACCAGGAAGGTCCTCGGGTCTCGGGGTTCTTGGCCACAGAGGAGGTAGTGTTTCAGAACTCAACACTTGGGATGACTTTACCTGTGGACGGCGTAGTATTCGGATGTACGTTCCAATTTTTGAGCAACTTTGGTCCGAGATTTGCGGGTATACTCGGGTTGGGTCCGAGGCCGGAATCCCTGGTTCGTAAGATCGGTCCGGTCTTCTCTTACTGTCTGGGTAATGTTCGAGACGAAAACTACCGACATCACCACCTCGTCCTCAACGATGAGGTGGATACCAGCCGTAGTATTACCATTAGCGAAGCTTCTCTGGATTTTGGACCCGATACTCATTACTACATTAGGTTGACAAGTATCAGAATGCCTGGTCAAGAGGATATTATCATGACAAGCCCAACAATGCTTCTCTTAGACTCTGGCACAAAAAAGAGTTTGTTTCCTGATTTTGTGTACGAGACTTTTGTTAAGAAACTAGATGACATGGTACGGAGCATCAACCCGGGCATTATAAGGCTTTACACAAATGTTACGAGTCTTGGTGACCTCGAGGACTTGTGCTACAAAGCGGAACTTGAAGACTTCCGCTCCAATGCTTTGAGGGTGACCCTTTATTTTGACGATGGGGATGGATGGTTAGAATGGGAATACGATTCCATATTCTATCAAGTCAGGGCAAGGAAGGTTTGCTCGTCAATCTCCCCATCTAGTGCTCGAGGCCGAGGAGGGCTTTTCCTGATCGGACTTTTAGGCCAACAGAACCAAAAGTTCACCTATGACCTAGATGAAATGCGTTTGTACATCGAGAAAGATCCTGATTGTGCTGCCGTAGCGATGTAATAATACCACTAATGTATAAAGTTAATCTCATCTCACACAATCATAGAATATTATTTTTATGCTTAAATTAAAATTGGGTTAATTGCATGGTTGGTCACTGAGATTACAAAAAACATTCAAGTTTGGTCACTCGAAAAATTTAAATCCATTGGTGGTATTTTAGTTTATTGAAACCGTTCCCGTTTGGTCACTCTCCGTCAGCTTTTGCTTACGTGACGGTCAACTCTACAAGTTGACCGTTAAATTTGTGAAGTGGCAATTTAAAAATAATAATAAAATTAAAATTGATTACTGCCTTTGGGATCAATCACTGCCTTCACCTTACCACTGTCCGGATAAGGGTTGAGTTTCTTCATAACCTCTCCATTGGAAGCGACCACAAATCTGAAACCTGGAGGCGTCACTGCTCCGGTCAAAGCCACCACACTTCCCCCTTCTTTTATAGCTTTCACCGCCTTCTCGCATTGCTCTGCAAAAATACCACCAGTACCCATTTCTTCAGAAACCCCAATTGATCAAATTCCTGTGCTGGCAGTGGCTACAACTCTTGATGCTCCAAACACCTTCTTCGCCAGCTGCAAATGTTATTACCCAATCAACAAGCCCCTCAAGACCTTTCAAACTTCAGAGAAACGCAAGTTATACAAACATTGATTATCAATGATTTCAACCTTTGAATCACAAGGCTTCCCACACCACCAGCGCCATTGAGGACCAAAATCAATTTCCGAGAAGAGAACCCAGTTCTCTCTAGACCTTCATAAGCCTTCTCGATTGCAAGAGGGAGCGCATTAGCCTGAGCGAAATCCAGACCCTTGGGCTTAAGAGCCAGCAATTTCTCTTCCACGGTCGTGCATTCCGCTGGGGAACCAATCTGTTTCGGCCCATTCAGGGCCTTCTCGTGAATATCGCCGTAAACCTCATCTCCTTCTTTGAACTCCTTCACTTTGCTTCCAGCTTTCACCACCACTCCGGCAACATCGTACCCTGGAACAGTCTACAAAGACGCATTTTAAATTTTCTCTCAGTAATCAAACAGACAGTACAGCTAATAGAGAGAATTGAGGAATTAATTACTCCTACGGTTTAACCTACCGGAAGAGCAGAATCGGTGGCCTGGAACTTCCCCTGCCTCCGCTTGAAATCCACGGGGGTTGAGAGCGGCAGCGACGACCAATGCCAATACCCTCCGACAGCATACCTGCCTTCGCAATGGAAGCGGCAGCGACGGCAGGTATGTTGTCGGAGGGTATCGGCATTGGGATTAGAAGAAATTAGGGTTTGTTATTTATTTTAAATAAAAGTGATAATGAGGTGGAAATGAATTCTATTATTTTTAAATTGCCACGTCACACATTTAACGGTCAACTTTTAGAGTTGACCGCCACGTAAGCAAAAGTTAACGAAGTTGGACGAAGAGTGACCAAACGTGAATGATTTCAGTAAATTTAAGTATCACCAATGGATTTAAATATTTCGAGTGACCCAACTTGAACGTTTTTTGTAATATCAGTGACCAACCATGCAATTAACCCAATTAAAATTTTCATTAAGCATAGGCTAACAAAAGAAAGGCACTTTGGACTTGGAGCCTCTCAACAATTACAGTCCTTAAAGCAGCTAAAACAATGAAACTATCAAAAAGCTCAAAATGAACATACAAAATCTCTAAAAAAACCAAAGAAAGAGAGAGAAGGTAATGTTAGAGAGAGAGTCGCTATGCCCTCTCTCCTCTTTGTGGCCGTTGCAATGTTTGGCGAGAAGAAGCCGCAGGCGGCGGAGGCTGACCATTGCCTTAAGCTGCTCGATAGATCGCCGGCAGGATCCTCAGTTCAGCCTAGTAAGAAATCGAAGGCCAGCACTTGTGAAGACTTCTCTTGTAAGGGGGAGATGGATTTCGCGATTGTTACTGCGAGAGGAACGTCCAACGATGAAGGAAGGAAAATGGATATGCAATCCGATGCAGCGGGCCAGGAGCAGACGGATTACGAAAAGTAGTGGGAGCAGGCCAAGGAGATTGAACAGGGGAAGATGTCGTATAAGGATTCCTTCCTGGGTAATAAGCCAATATCGTCGTTCCCCGATGGTGAGGAGCTCATGTCTGACGAATCGGGAGGAGAAGATGAGGATGATGACCTTGATTGCCCAACGATTAGGATTAAGAAAAGTATCAATACAAGGGTACAACGCCGCTGGAGCAGGGCCATCACTTTCCGCGTCCTGGGCAAAATTTTCTCCTTTGCTTTCATCCAAAGGCGTGCACAGAGTATGTGGGCAAAAACCAGAGGTGGAAAGATTAGAGACATAGGCAACGGGTACTACCAGGCCATCTTTGATTCGCAAAATTATTACAGTAAAGCGCTCTATAGAGGACCTTGGACGGTGGACGATGATCACTATATTTCTGCAGAGCCTTGGCGCCTTGACTTCGATCCGGACTTCGACGATATCAACCGTGTTGCGGTATGGGTTCGTCTTCCTCGACTTCCCCCTACTTACTTTGATGAGGAAATCTTGCTTGACATTGGCAACAAGCTTGGTCGGGTAGAGAAGATGGATTACAACACCACCAACGGGTTTCGGGGTAACTATGCATGCCTATGCATTGAAATCGATTTGAGAAAGAGATTGGTTTCCAAGTACCTCCTGAAGAGGAGAGTTCGTCGAGTGGAGTATGAGGGACTCCACACTGATGGCTTCACCTGTGGGCACTATGGCCACCTGGAGTACTCTTGTCGGTGGAAAGAAAGCGATGCATCCCCAGAGGAAAGAGCTGCTGCCCCTAACAAGCCGATTGGGAATCAAGAAGTCAGCCAGAAGTGGTGGAGTACTTCGTCCCATGGATGTTGCCCACTAGACCTAAACGTAGAAGGCAACAGCAAAAATCTAGGAACAGTGGAGGTGAGACAAGAGCCAAGGTGAAAGCTGGGGACGATCGAAAATCGGGATCTAGGTTCGCTACAATGTGGGAGGAAGATGCTAATGAAACTAAGGATGGTCAAAATGGTGATGAGGAGGAGAGAATGGTTGACACTGATGCTATGAGCCCAGACACTAATCCGCAACAGATTCTCAGCAAGAGTGATGTCAACACAAAGGCAACGAGCATCAATATCATTGAAGACGATTTGGAGCCTCCCCCTAAAAAAACCTAGGAAAGCCCAGGAAAGTAAAGTGAGGAAGGAGGCTAAAGGCAAGAATGTACAACAGGGTATTCAACTAAAAAAGGAGAACCAAAAGAGTTCCTCTGTCAACCACAACATGAAGAAGAGAGATAGTGCTTCAGTCTCTAAGACTGTTCAGGGCTCATCTCCTAAACCTTCTGTGGGGAGGGATCTTATAAACAAGATTCCTAACCATTACTAGGTCCAACCCAAGTCTAAGGGACCTACCACACCAGTGGCTATCCTCGACAGTGGTTTACAAGGGAAGTATCAGATTCAGGCCCGGGAGTAGACCTGGCAATCGGGTCGGGTTGGCTAATTTCGGGTTAGGAATCTCGGGCTACGGGTCTTCACGGGTCGGGTCATGATGGGTTTGCTGATTTTGGATCATTTCGGGTCATGAGCGTTCTCAGAAACAATATTAAACATGCTTCATAATTTATGAAAGAACACAAATTTTTACGTATGTGCGACAATAGTTTGCCTAGCACATGTCAATTAACAAATTGTCAACTCCATCCATGCTAATGAAAAGAAATACAAATTGTACAAATTGTCAAAAAACAATGACGAAAGTAATACTACTACAATAAACAAATGATGTTTGATTATCTTAACACTCAAAACTTGTCTTTCAAATCCTAATAAATTTTTTTAAACTTCTCACCAAAGTATGAGTGTTTTTATCATTTTGAGAGTGACATATTCAATCAAACGGGTCTAGCGGGTTGACCCACAAACCAACCCAACCCGACCCAAAAACTACGGGTTAATCAGGTTCGGGTAATTTGGGTTATAAAAACCTCAACCCATTCTCTATTTTTCGGGCGGGTTCTGATCGAGTCCTCATTTGCCAGGTCTACCAGGGAGTGTGGAGCTTCTACAGGGCACCAACCAAAAATGAAGGCTGAGGGAAGCAGCAAGCTTGCCAAGGGGCCGGATAAAGCTCAAAGCCTTCCCACAGATAATGGGAAGAGTCATAAGAAGAAGAGTGGCTTCAGTCCTAATATGGAGATGAGCCAGATCCAATCTGAATATGTGATTGCTCCTTGTGGTGTCAAAACTTGTAGCGATCTGGGTGAGAAAGCGATGCCAATGGCCGTCGATGAGTGCTGACCACCTTCGAGGTTTGAACAGGGGAGCCTCTTTCATCATTTATCAATGATTAAAGTCCTCGCCTAGAATTGTAGGCGTGCTAGGCATCCCAAGTTTTCTTCTACCATTGAGTTTTACAAGAGCTCATATAGACCTGATGTGATTTGTATTTTGGAACCAAGGATAAGCGGGGATGATGCACTTGATGTCATCAAATCGATTTGTTTGATTCATGGGTTGTTTCCGATGCAGCGGTGGTATATGGGTTCTCTGGGACAGTAACCGTATGCATCTCGAGGTCCTGGACAAAGAGAAACAGTTTGTCCATATGAAGTGGACTATAGGAGGAAAGGAGGTTGGAATCCTTACGGCGATATATGCTAGTCCGAACGACTTTGAAAAGGTGGCTCTTTGGAACTTTCTCAGAAGGTCAGAGAAGAATGTTGGTGTTCCCTGTCTACTGACAGGGACTACAATTCCATCAATAGTCCGTTGGAGAAACAAAGAGGGGCACCCTTCAATTTCGCCAGATCGAGACCTTTCGCGGAGTGTATTGAGGATTGCAGACTAGTTGACCATGGCTTCTCGGGTCCACGCTTTACCTGGTTCACCGAGTCATCTCGGCTGAAGGAAAGACTGGATCGTAGCTTGTGTAACCTGGAATGGCGGCAGCTATTCCCTTATACCACTGTCTTCCACATTCCAAATCTCAAGTTTGACCATCGCCCAAACTTGACGTGTACGTCAAGCCGCCCATCTCAACATAAACCGGTGAGACGTTTCCAGTTTCTTGCTCTATGGCTTGCCCACGAAGATTTCTCTAGACTCCTATCTTCCTCTTGGAAACGTGGATTTGATTTTCCTTCCTCCATGCAGGTTCTCTCGGAGAAGCTTGCCTTGTGGAATAAGGTAACCTTTGGCAACATTTTTCGAAGGAAGAGACACCTTACGAACAAGCTTGAGTCTCTGGAATTCCGCAATGAGAGACTTGCCAGCCCTCATTCTTTGGAGGTGGAGAGGCAGATTTGGGAAGATTTGAAGGACATGCTGTGGCAGGAAGAGATCCTTTGGATGCAAAAATCCAGAGTTAAGTTCTACATACATGGCGATAAGAACTCCCGCTTCTTCTATCAGAGCACGTTAAGCAGAAGAAAGAGGAACATGATCACCAGCCTGAAGGATGGAACTGGGTGCTGGGTTTCAGACCCTAATGTCCTCCTCTTGATGGATAGAAGCTTTTACGTGGAGCTGTATACTAGAGAACAAGGAGATCTGCCCCCAGCTTCCAGTCGATTTCCCTTTCCTGCCGTCTCCCCTTGTTGGAAAGCTTGGGCTCCCCCCATCTATTGAGGTAGTCAGAACTATTATCATGGAAATGAATGGGCTTAAAGCACCAGGAAAAGATGGCTTCCAAACAATCTTCTTTCAGAAATGCTAGGATGTCATCAGAAGGAAGTTTTTTCTCTTTATCTCTGAATGCTTTAGAAACCCTAGAAAAATTAGATACTTGAACCAGACTTTACTTGCTCTTATTCCCAAAGTTGATGCTCCTGCTTCTATGAGTCAATTTCGACCCATTGATAAGTAAACGAATGTAGCCAAAATGATCAAGTTGATGTTTAAAACTTGGGAAAGAGAGTCAGGGCAAGGGTGCGAGCTGCAACACCATCCTTTTTTTTTAACCCTTTCATTTTAGCTTCTAGAGTTCTACTGGGGTAACTTGAGTTTTAGAAAACCCTTTAGCTTCTAGAGTTCTAGTGAGTTAACTTGAGAGGTTATTGTTAATAATATAATATTGTTGTTCATTAAAGGTTATGCTAATATATTTAGTTTTTTTGTGAAAATATTTCACTCATGGAGTAGTAATTTGTGAAAAATTATAAATGCATACTCCTAATATTTGGAAGTTTTATCTTGATACTATTAGTTTCTGAGAAGATTTCAAAATTTTATCAAAAATCTTTTTGTTAACTTAAATAATAAGTGAATGTGTAATCTCGTAGACAAGTTAGATATAGTCACTTATAGTTCACCAAGTTGTAAATTTATGGATAAAATTTGTTCAATTAATTAAATTTTAAAAATAATTTTTCAAGAATGTATGAAGATATTTTCATCATTATTTTACCGAGAAAAAAAATTTCACCGGCCTCCCCAAATTTTACATCCTCGCTCCGTCCCTGATTTCTGATAACATTCTTATCCTGCAGGAAACTGTTCACTCCATGTCGAGGAAAGGAGGGAAGAAGGGTACCATGCTTTTGAATGTGGATATGGAAAAAGCATACGACAGGATTGACTGGGACTTCCTCGAAGAAACCCTGGTCTTGGCCGGTATTCCCACGCAGTGTGTCAACATCATTATGCACTGTGTGACATCTATGGAGATGCTGGTTCTTTGGAATGGTGGGGAGACAGATCCTTTCACTCCCACCAGGGGGTATCAGGCAAGGATGTCCCCTTTCCCCCTACCTTTTTACGCTTTGTGTTGAGAGGTTAAGTCATACCATTGCTAGAAAAGTTAGGGATAAGTAGCGGAAGCATGTGTTTCTGTCTGTTGGAGGTCCCCATCTGTCCCATCTTTTCTTTTCCGATGATCTCGTCTTGTTTGCGGAAGCTAGTGTTGAGCAAGCTAACTATATCATGTCTTGTTTGAATGATTTTTGCGTTGCCTCCGAAGAACTTGTTAGCAAGGATAAGTCTAGAGTCTTCTTCTCCAACAACACTAGGCTGCATACTAGAACTAAGATATGCTCCAGATTAGGCATCCAATGCACTAGTGACCTAGGAAAGTATCTTGGTGTCCCTATCATTCATGGCAGGCTAACCAAACTTACCTACCGCTACATTTTGGAAAGAATTAATAGTAAGCTTACGGCCTAGAAAGCTCGTACTCTCTCACTTGTGGGTAGAGTTACCTTGGCCAAGGCGGTCCTTCAAGCTATTCCATTCTATGCCATGCAAACAACCATGCTGCCCATCTCTGTGTGCGAGGCCATTGATAGGAAAATTCAATTGTTTGTGTGGGGTTCGCAAGTGGGGAAAAGGAAGGTGCATTTGGTCTCCTGGGAGACAATATGTAAACCTAAGAACCAAGGGGGCCTGGGTTTGAGATCAGCTATATTTCTTAACATTGCGTTTATGGTTAAATTGGCTTGGCAGATGATGAATAATGAAAATGAATTTTGAGTTTAGGTGATGCAGGGCAAATATTTTCATCATAGGGAAGGGAAAATCAAAGCCATGAAGACTAGCAACCATTCCAAAATGTGGAGAGCTATCCTCAAGGCCATGCCGATGATGAGAAAAGGATTGAAGTGGAGGATAAGAGATGGGCAGTCGACCGGTTTTTGAACCTACACGTGCCTGGACCAAATACTACTCTTGAGGATTTCTCCCTTGTGGACCTCTCTGATGAGGAGATTGGGATAGACTTAACATGTATCTGCCTAATGAGGTACTGGTTTGCATTGCAGGAATGGAGTCCCCTGCCCCGGAGCTTGGAGAGGAGAGTACAGTTTGGGGAGCTGAGAAGGACGACATATTCAGACTTAGAACAGCCTATGACCTCGTGGCTGGCATGACAGATGACGAAGCTGGGGAAGCTTGGAGGGACTTATGGAGATGAGAATGACCCAACAGAGTCAAGCTCTTCCTATGGCTTGTGTCGCACAACAGACTTCTGACTAATGCAAAACGGAAGAAGAGACAGATCTCACAGGATGGAGGCTGCAACCATTGCACTGATGAGGAGGAGACAGTGCAACACATCCTCAGAACTTGCAAGAAGACTAACAGATTTTGGAGGCAATTTGCTGGCAAAGTTAAAGTGTAGAGCGGTGACATTGATTTCCTCCAGTGGATCCACATGAACACTACTGACGCAGAATCAAGAGTTGACTTTGGCATCCTTTGCTGGCTCGTTTGGAAACAAAGAAATGAGGAAGTGTTAGATTGGAAGAAGTACTCTGAAAAGGGCTTGATCTGCAAAGCTAAGGCTTGGCTGAACATTCACCGTAAAGCTAAAGCAAGCATAAGTAAATGCATTAATGTGTGTTCTTCAGGGCAGGTTGAGGAGGAGGTGGGTTGGAAACCGCCTAGAGAGTCTTGGTTTCAAGTTCAAGTTGACGGCTCGATGCCTGGAGCTTAAGGATCGGCTGCTGCAGGCGGTGTGATTAGGGACAGCGTTGGTTACTACTTGGACGCATTTGCTTGCAACCTGGTGGTGTGTTCCATGACAGCGGCGAAATTAAAAGGAGCTACTGTCAGACTCGACAGAGCTTGGAAGCTTGGTTTCAGGAAGATCGAGCACAACCTCAACTCCACCACTGCTATTAGCATCATTAGAAACTAGGATGATAGCAACCACTCTCATGGGACGATTGCAGAGAAGATTGGGAGACTTATTACGCGCGATTGGGAGGTTGTTGTTAACCATGTGTATAGAGAAAAAAAACTTTGTTGCTGATTTTTGGCTGTTAAGGGTCATACCCTTCCTTTTGGCACATACAGTTCAATGTGTGCGACCCCAACCTTAAACATGTTGTGGTAGTGCCTACTGCATAGCTAGTGCTTAGTAGGCCTAAGCTAGATAAAACGAAAATAGTAATTTTCAATATTAATGACAATTGTATTTCATATTTTCCTTGAATTCAATTTCAAATGATTAGTAACTTAACAAACACTCAACAATAAACAAAATATGTCATAATTTCTTAGAACCATAAGCTTATAGAAGTTGTGGTTTGTAGATGGTCCATTGCCAACAATGGTGAAGAGCATGACAAATGATCGAGTCGAATATAGAGTAGCTGGATATGACAGTTTTGGAAAGATAAGCCAAAAGAGTATAGGTTGTTTTTGTTTAAAGTATAATTACTGGATAAATTGCAAGGCTGGTCACTGGAAGTATTAAAAAATTCATGTTTTGTCACTGAAAGTATTTCATCCCATTCGTAGTCAATGAAAGTAGGTTAAAGTTGTCATGTTTGTCACTATCCGTTAACACCGTCGATATTTTGCTGACGTGGCTAATGGAAATGTTGATTCGCTATTTTTAACCTGCCACGACTAGGGATGTCGATTTGATATGAAAATCCGAAACCGAACCGGAAACTGCTGGATTCGATTTTCGGTCACCCGAACCTGAGAGATGTAGTGATGGTTTCGGTTTGGTTACAATGAAACCCCAAAACCCAAAAAAGTGCTCTAACGGTTTTCGGCTTTGCCCAATGCCCAGAGCTCTTTCAAAAGAGACTTTTACTTGTTATTATAAACCAGGAACAAAGAAGACGAAAGAAGTACAAATCTCTGCATCCAAAGAAACAAATCATTGTTACAATTATACAATCAATCCCTTGCTCTCCCTCTTTGTCGTAGTTCCACTCCCCCACACAAACCAATCCCAATCAATTGTTCCCTACAAAACCAAAGTTACAATTGCACAAACACACCAAAATCCAACCCAATAAGACAAGGAAGCTTGTCTGATATCTTCTCCGCTTTCAGGGCAGTAACAATTGCGACCCGTTGAGAGAACACAACAAAGCATTATCCGAGATAATTGAATACAATCTCTGAACTATTTCCAGAAAACTAAGAAATTCCCAAACAACTTACCCTACAACCCATAAACTTCACGTATACTTCCCAGACAACTTAAGAAAAGCCCAAAAAAATTCCTTCACAACCTCAGCACTGGTTACCAAACTTGGTTTTGACTGGAGGCAGAGGAATCTCAATTATGCTGGGCAACAGATAGAAGAACCAAGTGATAAGGATCGAAGTTGAATTGCGAGAGAACTCCCTTTTCTTGGCGGGAGCTGGCCAGCGTTCTATTTGACTCTCCACTTATTCTGCAAATTCAAAAGCAACTAACAGCTAACTTTGACTCCTCCAACTAACATCAACGTAAAAGACTCTTAACCTCAACACAAATGACTCTCCTACAGCAAGCATACTACTTTATCATGGGCCAACTACTCCACGTAGTCTCGATAGCGTCGATTAGGCTGGGCTGCTCGTGTTGAGTGGCGAGTGTGATGGGGAGGTGCAGGATCCCTCTCATCATTACCTGCCTCTGAAGAAACGACATTGTCCCCAATGTCCAGCTGCACAAAACGATCGTAGAACTCCGAAAGCTACTTCCCACGTGGCATCGTCATGGGGTAGGGACCGCCACTTGACTAGGATCTCCTCAATCGGACGAGATCCCCGTCGCGTCCAACGAGTCTCAAGTATGGCCTCGGGGTGGAGCAGTAGCGTGCCATTATCAGCAATGGGTGGAATCTCCGAGCTAGGAGTAGTTGGCGGAGTGGGGCAAGGCCGCAACAGTGAGACATGAAAGACGGGGTGGACGCGACTACTAGAGGGCAGACCCAGGCTTCGTTGATCTGTTCGAATAAGAAACCATCGGCCCAAAATATACGGCCGCCAGGCCTGCACGGCGGTGATGACGGCGAGCATCTCCTTGGCGTAGGTGGAGAGTGATTGTTTGGCTTTGCCGAGTGCTTTGCTCATGTAAGCAATGGGTCTCTCCCCCTGCATCAGAACGGCCCCAATGCCACTGTCGGAGGCATCAGTCTCAATGACAAAAGGAGCATTGAAGTTTGGCATCGCCAGCACCGAGGTGGTTGACATGGCAGCCTTCAACCGTTGAAAGGCCTCGGCAGCAGTAGCTGACCACTCGAACTGTCCTTTTTTTAGGAGGTGAGTTAAGGGACGAGCAATGGAGCCATAGTCGCGGATAAATTTCCGATAGTAGCCCGTGAGACCCAAGAATCCCCTCAATTTCGTGGTTGACGTTGGAACAGGCTAATCCGTCATAGCTTGAATCTTGCGAGGATCTACCTTAACTCCCTTATCTGTAATAATGTGACCGAGGTACTCGATTTCGCGCAAGCCAAATGTGCATTTGGAGAACTTGACGAAGAACTGATGATGTCGAAGGATAAGGAGAACCCTCCGGCCGTGATTGCGATGGCTTTCCATATCGAGACTGTAGACCAAGATATCGTCGAAGAAAACCAGGACGAATTTGCGCAGCATAGGTCTGAAAATCTCGTGCATCATAGCTTGAAAGGTCGAGGGCGCATTGCAAAGTCCAAAGGGCATTACCAGATATTCGTAATGACTGTTGTGGGTGCGCAATGCTGTTTTGGGGATGTCAGCGGGGTGCATTCGAATTTGGTGGTAGCCGGCTCTCAAATCGAGTTTGGTGAAGTATGCAGCACCATGTAGCTCGTCTAGCATGTCCTCGACCGTTGGAATAGGGAATCGATCTTTAATTGTTGCCGAGTTCAATGCTCTATAGTTCGTGCAGAAACGCCATGTACCGTCTTTCTTTTTGACTAGTAACACCAGTGATGAGAATGGACTGGTGCTCGGCTGAACCAGACCTGCGGCGAGCATTTTGTTGACTTGTTCTTCGATCTCGCCCTTCTGGAAATATGCATAGCGGTACGATCGTACATTGATGGCTTCAGTACCTTCTCTTAGTGTGATGCGATGCTCGATTTGGCGCTGCGGAGGAAGATTGTTTGGTTCCTCAAACAGATCACCGAACTCACGGAGGAGCTCTCGGAGTTCTTCGAGAACGGGGCGGAGCGGCTCTTCCTTGGTGATGCCTTTCAATGTTGTGGCCCTTGGGCCTGTGTCGGTGATCCGACGAGGGAACGGCTCTTCCTTGGTGATGCCTTTCAATGTTGTGGCCCTTGGGCCTGTGTCGGTGATCCCTCGTAGTTGTCGGCGTTGTCCCTCCCAATCAAATTCCATCTCCAAAGTCTTCCAATTGCTTTGGACCGTGCCCAATGTTTCTAGCCACTGAATTCCCAGAACAACATCAAAACCAGTAAGGGGAATGGCAAAGAGAGTCACCGGAAAGTGAGTGCCTTGTATTTGGAGCGAGACGTTGTCGTGTCGGCCATTACATTTCATTGGTTTTCCACTTGCTACCCTGACGTTGAACGGAGCTATGGCGGAGATGGGTAGCCGAAGTGCTTCCGCCGTAGTGGTGTTGATGAAGTTGTGGGTCGACCCACTATCGATCAACACTATTAATTTGGTTCGGCCCACTTGGGCACAGACTCGTAGGGTTCTTCCACCCGTTCGACCAGTGATGGCATGGAGGGAAACCTCAGCATCGTCAACGGCCTCTTCCTCTTCCTCATCCAACAGCATCATGATCCGTGGTTTGGCACAGCGGTGGGTAGGTGTGAATTTCTCGTCACAATTAAAACAAAGGTCTGCTTGTCGATGGCAGTGGATCTCTTCGTATGGGATTCGCCGGGCTCCCGGTGGCAGCGGTGGTCGATTACGAGCGGGAGGCGCGAGATCAATAGCGCGCGGTCAAGCCACGAAGGTGGGCTCAAACGTGGGTCTAGGTTTTGGCCTAGGTGGAGTTGTATAATCTGCCGGTGATCGGTAGGAGCTGCGCGGCGGACTCTGATAATGAGACAGCTTCTCATCACGGATGCGGGCCAAGCTAATGGCCTCCTTCAATGTCCGAGGGGTGAAGATTCGGAGCCCGTCAGCTATTTCAGTTTTCAATCCTCCTAAGAAGGTGCCGACCAACGCTTGTTGCGTCCATCCCCGGACGCGATTGCCGAGCTTTTCGAACTCCGTCTGATAATCCTGAAGGGTCCCTGTCTGTTTGATATGTGACAGAGGTTCGTCCAATCCGGTGGCAGCAGAGGGTCCAAATCGTGCCCAAAGTTCAGTCGAAAAACTTTCCCAGGTAATGGGAATTCCGTCAGCTCGATAGGTTCTGCGGAGCCACTGCAACCATTGGTTTGCGTCCCCTTCGAGGTGATACGACGCCAGGGTCACCTTTTAAACTTCCAGAATGGCTTGGAATTCGAAGAACTGTTCCACTCTTGAGAACCAGACAGTGGGGTCGTCGCCGGCGAAGGTCGGGAACTCTAGTCGAGCTAGTTTAGCCCCAAAGAAGGGCTGGTGATCCCGTTCATCGAAATCATCGGGAGGAGGTTGTCGAGTCCGACCGTTGACGGAACGTTCTCCCTCATCGGAACGTCGATCTTCATTCTTGGTTGCTTGATCTTGAGCAATTTTGTTGACAACGAGCTGAACGGCTGCCAGTTGGTCTATGATGGCCTGGACGCCGGTTTGGTTCTCATGTGTAGCGGTTTCGAGAGCTTCGATGCGTTGAGCGTGAGTGCCCATGCCGGGCTCTGATACCAAGTGATAAGGATCGAAGTTGAATTGCGAGAGAACTCCCTTTTCTTGGCGGGAGCTAGCCAGCGTTCTATTTTCTGAGCTAGAACTACCAGAGACGAATGTCTTTTGTGAAATAATACTTGCCTCTTATTCTCTTCTAAAGCTTACTTAAATACATCCATGAATGCAACTGAGAAACGACCTATTCCTACTCTTGTGGAACCCTTCCTACGGTTACCAACAACTACCCACGACTCTCCACTTATTCTGCAAATTCAAAAGCAACTAACAGCTAACTTTGACTCCTCCAACTAACATCAACGTAAAAGACTCTTAACCTAAACACAAATGACTCTCCTACAGTAGGCATACTACTTCATCATGGGCCAACTACTCCACGTAGTCTCGATAGCATCGATTGGGCTGGGCTGCTCGTGTTGAGTGGCGAGTGTGATGGGGAGGTGCAGGAGCCCTCTCATCACCAAGATACCAATCCCTACGAACACGATACTGCGCACCAAGATCCAAATCCTCAAAATAATTGGAGACAATATTGCCAACCTCAAGTGACTCGGTGAAGAAGAAGAGCAACATATACAGGAGCTTACTGGGATACCATAGCTAAGGTCAGAGAACAGAGTAACAAGGAACTCGGACACAATCTTGCCAATCTCAACGTTTGCCGACTGGATCCGTCACTTCACCGTTAATGGCTTTCGATCGGCCGCTGCTGAGTTGCCCATATGTGAATCGATAAAGCCAGGAGAGGAATTCAACTTGGAGACAGCTGAGTTACCCAGATGCGACGAATGGGAAAGATTCAATCTCAAACGAAGGGATGGTTTTCGAAGTCATCCCTCCTTCGTTGGGTTGGGAAGGTTTGGCGAAGCGAAGCAGCGATTCCGACCTCCGACCTTCCTCAATGTCTAGATCTCTGACGTCATCTCTCCTTCGTTGGGTTGGGTAGGATTGGCGAGGCAAAGCAACGACTTCATCTTGTCTATTGAATCCTCAAGGAGAGTTCAATTGTCGCTTTTGTGTTTTCAGGTTCTAGCGAATCCAAAAGGCCAAAACCGTCATAGCACACCTTCGGGTGGAACCCGAACCCGTAAGAGGCTCTTAGCAGTTCATTTTCAGTTAAACCTGAACCAAACCGACACCCCTAGCCACCACAGACTCTCTACATAACCAACCTAATTCAAATCCTAACCCAACACAACTTGACCCCATCCGACCACCCACCACAACCGCCGCCTGCCATCCCCACCTTCCACCATCATGGGCGGGACCGGATCACCTCAGTAGCTGTATCATCAGTAACCATCAGCAATCGCGCCATCCACCGTCTAGCGCATCTTCTTGTGAACCGTTAGATCATGCAAAGTAAATATATACGGGGAAAAATAGTAAAAATACGGCTCTGACAATTTGAAAAGCATACATGATATTAAACCGTCCCGCCTTCTCTCCTTCTTTCTATCATCTTTCACGCGACGGTTCTATTTTGCTCTGCTGTCTAACTCTCGATTCTTCCTCTCAATCCTCAATTCTCTCACCAAAATCGCACCAAAAACTTCATAAAAGACAGAAAAAACTTCAAACTTGAGGAATTTTCGCAAGGTTTTCGAAGAATCATTCAACGATACACTATTCTTGCTTCTTCATTGGAAAAAGAAGGGTTTCCAACTTCAACGAGGCTCAAAAATTGTTTTCGCACAAAAAATCAAGGTAAAACCTCGTTTCTTTCTTCAAAATCTCTCCACAGAACAATACAAACAGTATTTCAGTCACTTCATGTGAAAATTGAAGTAAACTCGCTACATTACCAATCGTTACCATATAGTGCTGAACTTGTGTTGAATCGTTACCATATGGTATTAAGATTTTTAATGCGGTAAAAAATAACTTGTACTGTTCTATGCTATATATTGCATATTGTTACCATATGGTAAGATGTGGTAAACTATGGTTTGATGTTATAAAATGGAGTAAACCATAAGTCATGTTGTGTTTTATTTTGTTACCATATGTTAAGATGTGATAATCTATGATTTAATGTTATAAAATGGAAGAAACCATAAGTCCTATTGTGTTTTGGTTTAATACCATATGGTAAGATGTGTTAAACTATATTTTGTTGTTATAGAATAAGGTTAACCATAAGTGCTGTTTTGTTTTGCTTTGTTACCATATGGTAAGATGTGATAATCTATAGTTTGATGTTATAAAATGGAAAAAATCATAAGTCGTGTTGTCTTTTTGGTTTAATACCATATGCTAAGTTGTGGTAAACTATGATTTGATGTTATAGAATGGAGAATACCAGAAGTCCTATTGTGTGTTGGTTTATTACCATATGGTAAGATGTGATAAATCTATGGTTTGGTGTTATAAAATGTAGGGGTGGGCAACGGGAAACGGGTATTTGGGTATACCCGTACCCGTCCCGTTTTTTAAGGGTTACAGGTACCCATATTACCCGTATTATTATAAACGGATGGGACTTGGGATTGTACATTCCTAATATGGGTACCCGCAAATACCCGTTTGGGTAATGTGGGTACCAGTTATACCCATTTACCAGAAATAGCCCACAGCCCAACACCCCAACCCAATTCACTAATTCAGAAATGTGGCATTGGGCCTTGGCCATTTCGGCCCTTAACTTTAGTCGACCCTTACCCTGCCTGGCTGCCTATTCCCTTTCGGCTTTCACTTAACTGCGATACAGTCAGACAGCGAGAGTGTGAGACAGCGTCCTCCACCCAGCGCGGCCGCAGCGCCAGCCTCAGCGACAGGCCGACAGCGAGACCTAGCTCGCTAGCTCCGCCTCCGCGTCTCCGCCGCTCCGCGCGCTTCCTCCTTCATTCACCGGCGCGGGCCGCGGCGGCTTCCTTCTTCTCACTCTGCTGCGCCGCCTCCAATAGCAAACCAGGAGCAGCCAACTTTCCCAGCCATGAGCAGGGGGAATATCAGCAGCATCACCATTCACCCGACGTTGTTATCTATTTAGGTATGCAGCTGCCATTCTCTTTTATTTTCTCCTTACAGTACATATTCTGGACTCTAATTACTAGTTAGGTTTGTTCTGCTAATTACTAATTATGTTTCTAATTTCCAGCATCTGTCTATTTGGTTTATGTTGATTTGGTTTATAGTTTCCATGGCTAATCAAGGGAATGAAGCCAGTCAAGGGAATGAAACCTTGGGTATTTATGGGTATTATGGGTACCCGTTATCCGTCCCGTACGGGTAATGGGTACCCGTTTCCCATATGGGTTTGGGACATGGGAAGGACTTTGGCCTCCAAATGGGACTGGGTACCCGTTTAAAACGGGACGGGTATCCCGTCCCGTCCCGTTGCCCACCCCTAATAAAATGCACTAAACCAAACATCCTGTTGTGATGTGGTTTATTATCGTATGGTAAGATTTGGTATGGTAGGATACCATTATGGTACCATATGGTATATTACGGTGAAAAGCTTCCTAATAGACTATTCTTGTTTTCGACATTCAGGTACACTATAGTGAAAGAAAGAAAAAGTTTTCGCACAAGGTGCAGCCTGACCAGAGTAACTGCAACTGCAAGGACATTGACATATGAGCAGAAAGAGAAACTTGAAATATTAGGCCTAGCAAGCTTAACATCAATCTAGAAGACAAAGATAAACTCACATTTTGCATTGTTCCAATGAACAAATACAATCCAATGATAGAATCGTTCAAGCTACCAGACGGGACCTGCATGAAAATATCACCAATTGACTTTCATAGAGTATATGGTATGCCAATGGGGAAAAGGGAAGTTGTACCTCCAAAAATTTCTTGGGACAACGCGGTAGATTATGCAATAGAAACCTAGTGATAGCGTCGTATTTGCACATGTTTGCACCCTTGTTTCTTAACCATTTTGGCTCAAACTTATGGTTTCTTGGCCTATTTCACGCTAGGTTGTGTTCCTTTGTCACATTTCAGTTCCTAGTATGTAAATTGAAGCAAAGGCGCAAGTTTCAAGTCAATCGAAATCCATTTGGCAATTCGGGAGAAGAAACACGGGCATGACCTGAGGGATAATGGACTTGTACCTCATATTATGGACAAATAAACATAAAAGTTTGTCATTAAAAAAAAAGAGGACGAGACTACGAACGTCTGGGATCAAATGGCGACTGATTCGGAGTCCGCACGAGGGAGAAACGAAGCATTAAACAGGAGCGAAGGAAGAAATACGGGAATCCCCTCCCAATTACGGGCGTAATTGCCTCTGCCCTGCCCGTAAATGCAATGCCGAGCCAAATCCCTGAGAATGCCTTCGAAGATCAAATTACGGGCAATAGCAAAATGAACTACGGTCGTAATTCCACAAATACTGGCAGTAATTGGGTAATTACGACCGTAATTCCTCTCATCAGTGTTAAGTGAAACGCGCGTTTTGGGTGAAATACGGGCAGGCCATGTTTACGACAGTAATTCAGCCCTTATTTCGCCGAGAGTCGGGTATTTGAGGCAGATTCGAGCCAAAGGAGAGAGAACTGACTTTTTGGAGCAAAAACAGAGTTTTAGAGAGAGAAAGTGCGATGAACAAACCCTAGGAGCTATTTGGAGTGGATTTCTCACCATTGAAGCCCATATTGCATCCCTAGGAGTGAAGATCATCATCCCGGAGCAGATTATCCTCATCTTTATGAGTATGACTACTCTAATTACTGTTTTCCTCTCTCTCTCTCTCTCTATGGAGTAGAACTTTCTCTCACTTGGGTATGAAGAACCCTAGTTCCATGTGTTAGGGATCTTGATTGTAATAACTTGGGATTGTTATACTGATTGATTTTAATCGATTGATGCATGATTTATTGAGTCAATTGAAGTCTGATCCTCTTTTCTTGATTTCTGCTGCAACCTGAGATAGATAGAATCTGATTAGGTTGCTAGAGCTTCATCAATCGGTAGTGGTAGATTGATTATACGAGAGTTAATTGATTTACATCTTTGTATTGGAACCCAATTCCAGTAGTGGAGTTCTGCGTTCATAGCCTCAACTTTCTATCCCGGTCAAGACTAGTCGTCTGCCGGGCAGTTGGACTGAGAGGGCTTGGTCAGCTTAAGAGATTTCAAGCTACTGTCGGATCTTCTGCAGTTTAATCAACAGTTAATCAACCCAGGGTAATTAAGGAGCTAAGGGAACTCATTCTCGAGTGACTCTTCCCTTGCTTTAGAAAACCGAATCGTTTCTTGCTTTCTTACTGTTTTTGTTTAAAAACACAATCAGTCGACTTAGTTTGCTAGATAATAGATATTCACGAAGTAGGCAATAGATCTAGACCCCGGGTTGACAAATAGAGCTTGCCTGTTACTGCATTTTCCGAACTGCGATTACACTTGGTTTCAGTTTGGTGTTGTGTTATAGCGTGTCAAGTTTTTGGCGCCGTTGCTAGGGACCTTCTAGGTTATTGGGAAAATGTGAAAGTTTGTTACTCTAGGTTTTTCTTTTCTGCATTTTCTCTCTTCCACCTGTGTGCCTTCACGGGTTGCTTTTGCTGATTGTGTGCAGGTAGTGCATGACCCGTAGCCAGTCGGGAGATTTACTACCATTAGACCAAGAGCTTGAACGGACCTGTAGGAACTTCAAGCGGGCTCTAAAGGCGCGAATGGCTGCGGAAGAGACCTTAGCACAGCTGCAAATCACCGAGGAGGAAGAGATGGGTTACCCACAGGACCATGATGTGGTCCTTCCCGAGGAGCAGACCATGTGGTATTACTGGACCGCCAGGGCCGCGGACATGAGTTCGCACATTCAATACCCTCATGTTCCAGCGAATAACTTTGAGGTGAGCACCTCTGTCATCACCATGCTGCGCGGTTCGGTGGTATTCCGTGGCAAGGAGGGGGAGTGTCCCCGATCACACCTGAGGTGATTCCACGAGCTCATCGATGGGATCAAGATCAATGAGGTCCCAGCCGATGCAATCTAGCTGAGGTACTTCCCATTTACTCTGGAGGGGCAAGCCAAGGAGTGGCTGGATACTAGGCCCCCTGGATCGATCACCACATTCGCCAACCCGGCGGACAAGTTCCTCACTTGCTACCATCCTCCGTCGAAGACGGCGGACCCGCAGAAGCAGATCACCCAATTTGCCCAGGATGAAGATGAGACCATTAGGGATGCTTTGGAAAGATACACTAGTCTCTTCCTCAAGTGTCCCAACCATGGTTTTACCGACGCCTTCAAGGTGGGCACTTTCTACCATGCCCTCTTCCCAGAAGACAAGCAGCATATTGACTCGGTTTGTGGCAGAGCATGGATATGACTGGGGAACTGCGAGGAGATCGAGACGAGCACCAGGGCCGGGTGTGCATGCTGTAGC